CAGTTTTGAAGACAAGTCTGATATCATATCAATCCTAACCATAATAGCGAAAATTGCTTACTAAGTCGATAACACTACACAGCTAAGCAAACGCATTCCATCTTTGTTTTTTATTGACTTTCAACCTCAAACTCGGTTTCAAACTCTTTCACCCTTACCTTAATCAAACTATTACCTAACAATGTACGTTTCAGGTCCCACAGCGAATCCTTGCAATAGTTGGCGAACTGCCACGGACGAGCATGTAGATTTTGTTGCGTTCCTGGGTTGCAGGACTGGCGCGCGATCGCAATGCTCTATCTCTGATTGTGTCACTCTTGCAGCTCCCAGATAATTGCAGGCATTCTTCCTCATGATTTTGTGATGCTCCATCGAGTGATCTACGCACCCCAACGCGTGCATCATAGCAAGGCGTGCACTGGATACAGCTTCATGTTTGGCAAGTTATGATTATGATTCAAGGGCCTTTCTGAACAGTTATGAATGTTTGATCTTTGCTTCGCCTACTATAAAAGCTTGATATTTTTTCCCTCAACAGCCTCTGGCGATTCTAGTTGTTTTGGGACAGAGTTATAGATTTGATTTCAGCTTTGCAAACCTCAGTGCATACTCAGTTAACCTCTGGTTTTGTGCCGCGTTTTTTTGTGCCGCCTTTCCGATATCAGGACGTTTCAGCATATAGTTGTGATTTTCTTCGCCTTCCGTTCGTATAGATGCTCCACCTGCTCATGGTAGGCACAGCTTAGCTACGTCTACACATGTTGAGCACATATTAGACTTTACTCATTCATCACAGTTTTCTGTCCTCGTTTTACCGAGCTATAAATTTGCGTATAACGTGCGGCCTACCACTACATTTGTTGACCAATTCCTCACTTTTGATCAATCTTCCGGCATCTGGGCTTTTATGAAACCAAATATTACTAAGCTCACTGCTATGTTGATCTTGCCCTATGCCCTACCCATCCCAAACTTCGGTTAACCCCTTCAAGTGCCTCAAAAAGTATGGATTTCCGTGTCAGACAGCCTGAGCGTGAGCACGTTATACACGTACAGGGTGGCTGAGAAGTATAGGACACTCCGTTTGGCGCCACAGGAGCTGTGCATGTAGCCACATGAGCCATTTGATTAAACGCCTGCATAAACCCACGCAATGAGAATTTCTGCACAGCGATCTACTATCGAGAAATTGCTGAAAGAAAGTCTCAAGACTTGTAACATCGCGAAGCAACTCGATGTGGACAGCCGAAAAAATTTACGGTCAAAAAAAGTGAACCTACCAAAGACTCCTGGCACTATTAAGAAGAGAGTCACCCGCAAGGGCACGAATCGGATTGCTTCTCTCCTCAACGTCAGCCTCCAAACGTTCAAGTAATAGGGGAGTTTCGCCCGGAGCTTAACAGTAGTCGACTCTGTCGAGGGCAGTTTGAACCAGAGCTGTGCAAACAAAGTGGTTGCTGAAATGCAAAATACCTCTCCGAGCTGCATCTCTGACGTGATCTGGACTGATGAGAAAGTTTCCAAAGCTGACGACGCTTCCCCAAAATGTCCTCCTGAGCATAGCCGACTACCTCTCGAAAGTGGCATTACTGGGCCGGGTTGACATCAGAATGCAGAGCAATATTGGACTTCATCGACAGAAATGTGAAAATCGACTCCGCGGTTTATTGAAATGTACTTAATAGACGCCCTCCTAATCTTAGTCAGTGAGCACTTCGGTAAGCGATCGTTCGTCCTTCAGCAAGATTGAGCCGCCCTTCGCGTGCCTTGAAACTGAGGAAAATCATAGTCGCTGCGCAATTCTCTTTCTCCTTGGTACTGGAGTAAGAATTTCTGACCTTCCTCTTCGCCAGACCTCAATCCATTGGACTTCTCTGCGTGGGGGCATTTGGGAAGCAAGACCGCAGATCGCTCCTACCGCTCGTTAGACGCTTTGGCGTTGGTGCTTCAAAAGGCGTGGGACGATGCCGACGTTGACTACGTGCGGCCCACTGCTATTAAGTTATCGTGCTCCTAGACGCCTCTGTAAGAGCGAAAGGATCGAACTTCGAACGTCTCCTGTCCTGAGTGATCGCGCAGCTCTACTTTGGTCCTTAATGAAGTAGATTTGCCTACCTGTCCTATATACATGACTACAAATGTAGCGTCCATACTTTTTAACCGCCCTTTATGCAGTAGCGCTCAGAAGTCAGCCAAATGCTGCTTCAGCCGTACTTTTCAGTCGGAACTCCTTTCCTACTGGATCTAATTATGCGAAATTTTAATATGTGCAGCATGGGTGTATTGTGAATATTTGCCACTATCAGCCTGCAATCTGATCACGTTCCATATATCCCTANAGGCTCGAGCTCAAAATCAACTAGGAATACAGACTTTACAGGAATACAGGAATTATTCTTTCTAGGACTTCTTTCCTTTCTGCCATATCTAAGATATACGAACGCTAATCCGAACACAGTAGAGGAGAAAAATGCACATAAGGTGCGAATAAGTGCAAACGTTGCTAATTTTGCACTTGGAGCAGTCTACTACCCAATAAACACGTTGCTCTCAGCTATAAGGATATTACTGCTTTGCAGTCAGATAGTGTTGGATAGTGTGAAATATGCTTCATTTGAACAAAGCAAAATCTCGCGCGCTTAGCTTTACTAAGAAAGAAGTTACGGCCGAAAAAGCGTCTAGCCGAATACTTCTGAGCGCTACTGTATATGGAGTGGAATTTGCTCTGAGACGAGGAGTGATCCTACGGTCATGTGTGCATGTGTGTGCCGGCGGGTGTGTGATTTGAATTTTGCAAATTGGTCTGTATTAAAAGCATTAAGATGTAAAAGAGATGCACGCGACTAAGTGGAAGCACTGGTGATAGTTGAGAGGATGGTATAAAAGCTGATAGGGGCTTATAAGAACTCTTCAGAGCGTGAGACCTTAGGTCTATTGCTTTCTTCGTGTTAGCAGAGGAACTTAGCCTCTCCCATGAATGAATCTTGAGCGTAACTATTATATATTACATGAATACCAGTTGCACTAAACTCAACTTCTACCAAATCCTTCAATTGAAGCTCGCTTCCTGATTTATTATGCACTCACAATCATAGAACTTCCCTGTAAAAAATGATGTTTATAAATATAGTATTTGTATATGGGGGAGGATTGGCTGGCTCGCCGAGTACTCTGACATTGTTACGGGATGGGAGTACACGCGCGACTCCCTATTACACACATCCTCCATCTGACAATGTGAACCGATATACGTGATTCTCAGATGGAGGACGTGGGTAATAGGGAGTCCTTGTCGTCGATGTAAAAAGATGTATGAGATTTCATGCCTCCTCTATTTATTGACTATTTTGTTTCTGTACGTCTGGATGTCTGCCCGCTGTTTTCGATCGAGCCGAACATTTTCATTCATGATGCTCTTAAGAATCCGAGAGATGTTCAAGTGAAGAGACAGTTCAGAGCACTCATTTTTTATTCATATCTTTTTAAATAGTACAACCATACCACAGCGATTACCGTCTCCTTGAGCCGTCTTCGAAGAAAATTGCACCGTCCAAGGCACAGTATCTAGGGCATATGCCTCTCTCTCCTTCACTTCCTGCTTTTCCTGGTGGACCAGGTGGTCCAGGATTACCATCTGATCCAGGGGCACCTGGAGCTCCTTTTGGTCCTGGTGGTCCCGTCGGTCCAGGCCCGTAGTGCACTCCGCCTTCTCCGTCAGATCCGGGTGCACCTGGTGGCCCAGGGGGTCCAGGATGTCCGGGTTCTCCTTCAACAGCATTAGATGACTCACCTGGAGCACCTGGAGCACCAGGCGTCCCTGGCAGTCCATCATTTCCAGGAGTACCTTGGGGACCAGGTGGTCCTGGGGGTCCTGCTTCTCCTGGTGTGGAAGGTACCCCTATTTCACCAGGGACTCCAGGCTCACCTGGAAAACCGGCGGGGCCTGGAGGACCAGGAGGTCCTCTTGGACACGGTTTGCACGGAGGCGGAGTAATCGGATCACAGGGCGCTTGTGGTGGCTTTCCTGGGGCGCCTGACAGACCAGAAACCCCTGGCTTGCCAGGGCGTCCAGGCTTACCAGGCTTTCCTGCAACTCCTGGAGGGCCTGGAGTGCATATGATCCTTTCACCGCTTCCTTCGTGGCCGCTCCCTGCCGAGCCTGAAAACTTTTTCGTGGGAATCGTTGTAGTGAGGAAAGATCATGCCTACCTTGATACGCTTGCCGTGAATGGAGGTTGGTAGCCCGAGCAGTACGATTTAGCTTGTTTATTCCATTCAAGTCAGTCACTTCTCGAGAAATTTCATGAATAGAAAGCTAAAAACTGTCAATGTTCGACGCAACACTTTCCTAACCGGACATGTAAAGGTTATGGACGCCTCACCCTGCAGTACTCGGATTCTTCTGTAAGGCGAGTCTTTGCGGTTTCGGCAAATTTGTAAGCAACAGGTAACGTGATGCAGATGGAAAACACTGATACCATAGAAAACACGACTGCGCTGTACGCAATCATGCGATATGCCTATAATTACATGAAGGTACTACAGGATGCATCCAAAAAGTTCATACACAGCTCCCTTGAAGCATATATTTGAAGGTTTCAACTAACCAGTTGCCTTTACCACTACCTCTTGCCCTCATTACGATCACGAAGACGGAATCCAATGAGCCCAAATAAGAAGCGAAACATAGATATCCTTATTCATCTGTACCACTCTCCACTTATTGTAGGGGTAATCACTTGCAAATGTTGCTTCCAAAATGATTACTTTTATGTATACCAATCCTAGGTTTACCATAACAATAGCCGGATAATGGGCCGGCTCAACGAATCTAACAAGGGAAGGATACTTGGTCGCAGTGGCCATTCAAGATGAGATGTATACCCCCGTAGGTGGTTTCGAACGCTGATCTGAAAGCTGTGTTCCAAATCTGCTAAACGATTCTGGGAACAAAGTTACGGGACCGATGCTTCCCTGTGTTATACCACATTAACGAACGGATTATCGAGC